ATCAAAATTATTTCACTTCTATCAGGTCAAATTATTTCTATTTCTTAAGGAACAACAGAGATACCATCTTTCCTTATACAAACAACACTATAATGTGAATTTTTTAAATGCAAGATTTGATTTACACATTTTATATATATATTCAGTTCAGTTCAGTTCAGTCACTCAGTCGTGTCCGACTCTTTGCAACCCCATGAATTGCAGCATGCCAGGCCTCCCTGTCCATCACCAACTCCCAGAGTTGACTCAAACTCACGCCCATCGAGTCGGTGATGCCATCCAGCCATCTCATCCTCTGTTGTCCCCTCCTCCTCCTGCCCCCAATCCTTCCCAGCATCACGGTCTTTTCCAATGAGTCAACCCTTTGCATGAGGTAGCCAAAGTACTGGAGTTTCAGCTTCAGCATCAGTCCTTCCAATGAACATCCAGGACTGATCTCCTTTAGGATGGACTGGTTGGATCTCTTTGCAGTCCAAGGGACTCTCAAGAGTCTTCTCCAACACCACAGTTCAAAAGCATCAATTTTTCAGCGCTCAGCTTTCCTCACAGTCCAACTCTCACATCCATACATGACCACTGGAAAAACCATAGCTTTGACTAGATGAACTTTTGTTGGCAAAGTTACGTCTCTGCTTTTTAATATGNATTGTTGAAGCCTGGCTTGGAGAATTTTGAGCACTAATTTACTAGCATGTGAGATGAGTGCAATTGTGCGATAGTTTGAGCTTTCTTTGGGATTGCCTTTCTTAGGGATTGGAATGAAAACGGACCTTTTCTAGTCCTGTGGTCACTGCTGAGTTTTCCAAATTTGCTGGCATATTGAATGCAGCACTTTCACAGCATCATCTTTCAGGATTTGAAATAGTTCAACTGGAATTCCATCACCTCCACTAGCTCTGTTCGTAGTGATGCTTTCTAAGGCCCACTTGACTTCACATTCCAGGATGTCTGGCTCTAGGTCAGTGATCACACCATTGTGATTATCTGGGTCGTGAAGATCTTTTTTGTACAGTTCTTCTGTGTATTCTTGCCACTTCTTCTTAATATCTTCTGCTTCTGTTAGGTCCATACCATTTCTGTCCTTTATCGAACCCATCTTTGCATGAAATGTTCCCTTGATATCTCTAATTTTCTTGAAGAGATCTCTAGTCTTTCCCATTCTGTTGTTTTCCTCTATTTCTTTGCACTGATCGCTGAGGAAGGCTCTTATATTCATGATATAGTTATAAAATGCTAATGCCCTGACTCAACAATTGGCCTCTATCAAATGAATCAGGAAGAAAGGTAAGCTTTTACAGCTGTTACTAAAGATGTTGTTATAAAACAACAGAACTTCCAATTATACAAATAATATTATCATTCTAGCAATATTTTGTAAGTACTAAAAGAGAACTACAATGCTATTTCAACATCAAAACACTTTATAACTGTCATTCACACTGACTGAACAGCTATGTCCTATTTTTCCTATCAATGGTTAATATTTAAGAGAAGTAAGAGAGCAGAGAGGTCAACTTCAATGGAAAATTTTATTTCCCTGCCAAGATAAAAACTTTGTTATTTTAGATTATCTGTTAAAAGTCCGATCATTTTATATTGAAAAGATACTATAATAAAAAAGTTAAAACCACTGACACACAAGTAATTTTTGATGTACATTTAGAATAACTCTTGTTTGAACCAAGGCTACCTGCAGCTGCCACATACTATATGGTGCTAGGGTTTTCTTTAACTGGGGAATGGGGGCAGAGACAGCAAAGCCCCTTAGGTGGAAAGAAATGAGATACTTTGTACAAACTAACTACTACCCCCTTAAAAGTAGGAGGAGATAGGTTCATAAGATCCATAATCTAATAGAGGTTAAACAGAAATATATGAGTTAGAACAGGTTCCTAAATGAGCCATCATTTACAGGCATGTTGGAAGGGCTGGTAACTACCAAGTTAAGGAAAATAGCATGGCTTTGGAGCGATAGGGACCTGCACTAAATCCTCAATGTGCCTCTCAGCAGCGTGTGATAACTCTCTTGCCTCAACTAGTTCAGTGCCCCCCACTAAAACCAATTCTGGTCATAGACCCCTATGCTTAAAAGTCATATTCAAGATAAAACACTTAGCAGGGCCCTTATTCTCTTAAGGCTCTTGTCAATCTCATCCTAACCCACTTTTTTTAGTCTTTTGTACTCCCTCCTTTCACTGTGAGAGTCTTGATAAATGAGCTGAGCCATGACAATCAAATGAAGAGGAAAGAGATGAAAACAAGGATGTGATTTCACAAAGTGAGAAAGTATGTTACATGAAAGTATGTTACATATATATATATATATATATATATATATAGTATCTTAAACATGTATATATGTATATATACCTCATAAAGGCCCCAAATGATCATGAATGATAAATACAGATAATATTTACGAGTACAAACGTAATAGTATTATTCACCCCAGAGGCTGGAACTAGTCTTTCTAAGTCATGATTATCTTGATGGGTCCAAACGCTTTTTGGCACACAGTGAGTTAGAAAATGTGAACCACATAACTGTCAAAGAGTAACAAAGTACAGTTTAACCCAGTAAGTGGTATCAACTTCTCTGTGCCTCTGTAATCCATTTATCTAAATCCTACTTAGCTGGAGGATCATAGTTCTCATATATCTAAATAGCTCTTTCCAAAGTTTAGATTAATGGTTCAAACATACAGTAAACACTGATGTACAAATTAGCTATCTGATGTCACATATAAAAATAAAAATTTCTTGTGACATATACATTTTCTTGGGATGAAAACAACACTAAGGAAATTAGGATCATGTCAAACAAGTAACTAAAAACTGTCTGAAGATAGACACCCACCTCCCAAGTCCCTAAAAGCCAGAAGTGGCCAAGAATTCCAACAAACCACTAAAAACAGATCTGAAATCTCCGTGGAAACAGGAGGCTTCATAGTGACAGACAGGGAAGAGCTTAAGGAAATATAAACCAAATCTTCATAGATCCACATAAAAAGGGAATGAGAGAATAGTAATTTTTAAAAAGCTGTGGTAGTGGCTAGATGGATCACAAAGTACTTAAAATACAAATTAAAAAGAAAGTTATTACCTCAGGCCTCATAAAATAAGAATAGAAATGGGAATTTAACTAACTTGTGTTTGATCCCCGGGTTGGGAAGATCCCCAGGAGAAGGGAAAGGCTACCCACTCCAGTATTCTGGCCTAGAGAATTCCATGGACTGTATAGTCCACGGGGTAACAAAGAGTCGGACATGATTGAGTGATTTTCACTATCACTTTCCCCTCAAATAACTGGAATTTATTTAGAGTATTAGCTTTTGAAATAAACATAAACATGTCTTGGGGATTATATTTGGGGATAAATTATATTAGATTTGGGGAAGACTCTTTCTAATCTTTGACCTAACAGTTAGTATATACCAGTTAGGACTATGAGTGATAGAAGCAGGTATTAGCATTCATTGATTTTTACAGAAATTAGAAATGAGAAGCCTAACTAACCAAAGTCACAACGATTTGAAACCTCCTTCTCCTGGTCTTATGAAATAGAAAACATTTCTTCACAGAAAAGTAAAATCATGATCTAAGTTCACACTACTGTACAAAATTATATTTCTATAACAGTAATACATTTATTATCTATGCTAATCATAATTTAACATGGACTCTAAATTTTCTGATAAAATCATCTACTTAAGACTTAGCAGAGGAAAGAAGACTGTTGATAGTTGTTTATAGTTTATATTTCATGGATACCATTATTACATATGAACATGTAAATTAGTAACAGAATGCAAACCAGCCACTAAATTAATTTCCAACTTGATAATACTACTAACCAAAAGGTAGGACCAGTTTCTAGCATCATGCATTTATTTCAAACTTATCTGAAATATAATAATCATATCTGCCAATATGATAATAAGGAAAAACCCTAAAAATTGCAAATAATGTCAAATGAAACATAAACTTTCAAACAACACTGATAAGTAACAATTGCGTGAGAAAGTTTATATTCAGTGATATTGGACTTTTATGCCTTTTTTTCCCCTTAAGTGTTCTTTCTGGAAATGAATGCTAGCTATTTATATATAACCCTTACTTTGTAATACTCAACTTCTGACTTGTTTTTCCTAGATAAGAGCAAAACTAAGAAAGCTTACATTCTTTAAATTTTAGTATTTAATGGCTTTATTTCTTCAAATAATGAACTTAAAATTATGCTAACTATGACTAAGATAGTTATTAATTAGCAAATGAAGTTACAGAATGTTATTTTATTGTTTCTAAATTAATGCAGTGATAATAGTGGTTAAGAGCATGGACTCTAAACATTATGCTTTATGTTCAAATTTCAAAACTGCCATTACCACATCTGGGACCTTGAACAAGTTACTTAATCTCTCTGTTCTCAGTTCTCCAAAAACTAAAATAAGTGGGACTAATAATGGTAGCTACCTCACAGAGTTGTAGTTAAATGAGTTAATATAACTTAAGTGCTTAGACAGCTAAGGTGCTTAGAACAGTAACACACCAACGTTTGTTGTCACTTTAATCTGTAAAAGAAGCTGAGAAAGGAGCTGCACAGGTTTCATTGTTATCTAAATTTTTCTTTAAAATATTTGAAGGACAAAACATATTTTCCTCCCTTCAAAACTTGCACAATCCTAATGGTCTTAACTTTTCAGATATTTTATAATTATAGCCTGGAGGTAAACAATTCCTGAGGTAAAAGGCCACACAGATGAAAGTTTTCTCTTTTCTAATTCGATAAAACACAGCTGTGTTACTTTTAAGGCACTATGAAATTTAGAGCATTTGTCAAGTAATAGAATTAATTACTCTTAGGCTGTAATATTACAACTCTCAGTTTTATTTTCTCTATTTGTCTTCAGCTTGTTCTGTACCAAAAAAGGGAGGTGGCATAAAATGCCCCCCCTAAACCCTCATGCAATAGAAGTTTATATAACTGAACACCAATACTACCTTTATCACTTCCATAATAATAGAACACTGTTTTACTGAGAGCACACCACCGTTTCTGCCATTCAAATCCCAGAAAACTGTGATCTACAATAAAGGGAGAAAAGAAATAGTTTAGATGATATACACTACTTTTATAAATATAATGTGATTTCCCTATTGTAAAAGGAAAAGTTAGTTAGTATGATTTCTAAGGTTCCTTTTAGCTGTAAAATTCTATGACTAATTAGTTTGTGTCTTCGTTTCCAAGACACGAACAAAACATAAAACAAAGCTAAAAGGAATACACTGGAGCAGAGGTGGGGCTGCTATATTTGTGGGATCAACTACATGGCTAACAAACTTTCCTGACAGGAATAGTCAAAAAGGCATTTGACTATAAGGTCTTAAGATAATTAATTCATCTGGGTCACATTTTCTCATCTGTCATAAAAAGGAGGGAGGAGGAGTTGACCTAGATTATTTCTGTTATCTCTTTCGGCTTTAAAATTCAGCTAGGAAAGCTAAGAAAAGCAAATGGAATATATACAGGAGGCCCAAAGGGACTTCCTGAGAGATAAGCTGAATGGTAATGAAGAGGCTTTCTGCTTTTCATTTCTTATATCATAATACTACCTCCATATTTCACTTCTATTATATATGGGGGTTGAAAGAGTGAGACCATATGGTCAACTCTCAATTATCATAGCCACTAGAGAGGAACACTGAATGAATAATAGAAAATGGCAGAAAATATGCTAAGCTTGATCTGAACCATAGCAAACATGGCGTATGCCAGGTCAGAAAAAAGATAACCCTCTGCTCAGCCAGGTGAGATAACATTGAGAAGTCCCATCCTGGAGATACAGTCAAGGCAGGAAGAGGCAGTAAACAGCTCCTGAATCACCTACAAATACCCAAGGTTGACAACAATAAACTTGATCAAATGTTTTATTTTGTTCTTAGAAAGTACTCTGAGCTGAAAGCTGTATTTTGTAGTTGGGACAATGTCATTAGATTTTCTTAAAGTCTTAGATTTTTAGGTTTTTCATTAGAATCACATAATTTACCTTTTCTGCGTTTTTCAAGGTAGCCAGCCTTTAACACAAAAGGAAGGTCCTGGGCTGCAATTGGAGGAAACTGGTTTCCTATGGAAGGCAGGGAGCAAAAAAAAGGTGAGTAATCCCTTTTAGAAAAATCAAGTATCAGATCTCATTAGATTCAGTATATTTTTAATTACTCAAATTAATTAAATCCAAGTCTATTAGTTTTATTTCATATGTATTCCATAGACTAGTCCCTTTCCACCTCCTGTGAATCTCAAGAGCAAAAAATGTTCTGTAATGTCACATCTTAATATATTATGCTCCCAAATACACAATAATATTATATAACTGAATGATCTCTAAAGGGTGATACTCTTTGACTTGCATTCTATAAGGAATGGACTAGGACACTGTTGTTATAAATAATAGTGTTCAATATCTTTATAAATTCATTGGAAATATACTACAGTTGCTTCAGCATTTTACTAGAATGCTAACAAGTGAAAATAACCGGTCCAATGACAGTTTCCATGGAATACACCAATAAAAAGTCTTAAAACAGTTTATCATAAATAATGTTTTGATAGGAAGCTTATTATATACAAATTAATCACAGAATTACCAACTGGGTTTTTAAAAAATATCCAGTAGCTATAAAATCATGTTATTTTTCCTTAAGAAACAAAAATTCAAATTAAAGTACTAATTTCAGCTCCCGGGTGGATCAATTTTGCTCAGTAAACACAAAACAATTATCATTAAAATATATTTAAAATGGAGTAATAATTTTGAAATACATGTAAAATTTTAAGGAAAGCCAATGCGAAAGTTTGAACAACTGTCCAATCAATGTATCCATTTAATCCACTGAAGGTAAAAGTTATTTAGTATAGTGTTTTTGTACATAAAATAAAACTAACATAAAGGAATCTTATCTATGTGAGTAAGTCCTGGTTAACCACTAAATTAAAGAAGGTGACTATAGTTTGACTTGCTTTTTAAACAGAAGAAAAAAAAAGATTGATAGCATCTTTTAAATTAAACTAGGTTACACCAACAAACAGAAATATTGTATCACATAGAAATATGAAATTTTAGCTAATATAAAACCACTTAGGAAAATCTTCTTTCTAAATAAGATTCCTGAAAACAAAGTATTTACCTCTTCAACTAAGCAAGATGATAGTTTAGTTTTTGTGGAAGTATGCTTGGACTCAGTCTTTTATGTAACTGGCACATAGAGTTCTTAAGTGAACTATACAAAATCCCTTTGTAGGAAACATCATTTGGATGACATTTCAGAATGAGAAAGCAAATATATTAATTAAATATTTAATATGATTATTGTATGTCATGAAAAAACTTCTAAGTGCTTTGTGCACAGTGGTAAAAAATAGAAAATTCACTGCAAACATCCCGTAAATAATTGTGAGTCTTTCCAATGATGGAAACAAACTCTTGAGCACTCATTTATGGATGAAATTGAGGTACCCAAGGAAGAAGCAACTTTTCAGTCTTTAGGTCTAATACAAAAGGGCACAGGGAGGGCTGAATTACCTCTACTTGGCTGGATGAGGCTCATTGAGAAGCAGTGCCATGACCCTCTCATATCCATTGGGGCGTAAAATAAATGTTCTTTACATATAAAACAAAGGCTCTAAATCTTAAGAAGAAACTTTATATTCTGAAGAGAAATGGGTACCTTTAGCATAGCTTTCAACTTTAAAAAGTTACTGGTCCAGGAAAAAGGAGGGGAAGAAGCAGAAGAGAAGAAAGGGAATTAGAATTTACAAAGGTGAATGTATATAACCTGAAGCTCTTGCTTTAAGAAAAATGTTGATTAAATTTCCATCTGGCAAATCAATAAAATTTGATGTCACAAGCAACACTTATTCTGAATTCTAAATTCATGTCTCTAATATAAAATCTTTTATTTCATTCCTAAAGGGGAAAAACAAATTTTCTGACTAAAATTTCATTTTTCTAAACTCCTTTTGTTATTTGTCCAACACCTAGGTTTTGTTTAATATACACATTAGTTTTTTAAAAAGTAAAAGTAAAGTAATAGTAATCCCTTTAGATACTTCAGATTTTAAGTTCTTAGAAGAACCATTTGACTGGTAGAACACCATGAACATATAAACACTTAATATTTTTTGATGGTAGAAATTGAAAATTTGTAGCAAGATATAAAAAGTAGTCATTTCTCTTTTAAAAAATATGAACTCTCACATCATTTTGACCTCATATCACTATACCTACAATGATCAACAGTATGCCACCATTTAAGGATATACACACTGATTCAAATAATTATTATTGTTGTTCAGTTGCTCAGTGGTGTCCAACTCTTTGCGACCCCACAGACTACAACACACTAGGCTCCCCTATCCTTCACTATCTCCCAGAGTATGCTCATGTCCATTGAGTTGGTGATGCCATCCAATCATCTCATTCTCTGTTGCCCCCTTCTCCTCCTGCCTTCAATGCTTTCCAGCATCAGGGCCTCTTCCAATGAGTCAGCTCTTTGCATCAGTTCAGTTCAGTTCAGTCGCTCAGTCGTGTCCAACTCTTTCAACCCCATGAACTGCAGCATGTCAGACCTCCCTGTCCATCACCAACACCCAGAGTCCACCCAAACCCATGTCCATTGAGTAGGTGATGCCATCCAACCATCTCATCCTCTGTCATCCCCTTCTCCTCCTGCCCTCAATCTTTCCCAGCATCAGGGTCTTTTCAAATGAGTCAGCTCTTCCCATCAGGTGGCCAAAGTATTGGAGCTTCAATTTCAGCATCAGTCCTTCTAATAAATACTCAGGACTGATTTCCTTTAGATTGACTGGTTTGATCTCCTTGCAGTCCAGGGAACTCGAAAGAGTCTTCTCCAGCACCACAGTTTAGAAGCATCAGTTCTTTGGTACTCAGCCTTCTTTATGGTCCAAATAATTATTAATAAAACTACCACAGACAGAGGTGCCTGGTGGGCTATAGCCCATGGGATTGCAAAGAGTCAGACAACCACTGAGCAACTAACATACACACACACACACACACACACACACATAGACACACACACACACACACAAATACATGCAGACTCATGAAGAAAAGATGGGTAAAGCTAATATAAACCTATCTGGCAGGTATCAACAGAGAGTTGCTGAAAATCTGCCAAACACCATTACATTATCTCACCAAAAGAAATTATGCATCACAGCCAATTACAACATTCCAACAAACTCACAATGGTATTATAAACTCTGTTTCACTACCAAAATTCACACCCTTGTCTCAAAAATAAGTTTAGCACTGAGTTTTAATCCTTTGGCAGAGGATTAGGCATTCAGTAAATGTTGGCTTTTATTAATTATAATTAAATATTGTTATTATGCTTAATATAACTATTAATTCAAATGAATGGTTACCAATGTGAATATTAGACAATTTAATGTTGCCTAGGGAATTTTAATCAGAAAAATGAAAAAAAGCATGATTTGGTAACTGTATGAGTTAAGCATTACAGTTATTTTAAAAGCAACTTGAAGATTTTTTTCTGAATATATGAAAGTGGTTGATGGAGAAATTATATCCTAACTCAAAGGAGAAAAAATAATTAACCTATACTCCAGGGCAGCTTATTTATACTGCAGACTATTATCTCATAGCTTTCTAAAGTGGCCAAAACTTTTCACTACCCTGACAAAATAAGCATATACTGACAAAGACAAGTCTTTTTATTATATGGGCATGTATTTCTTATATAATAGCCCAACTTTTCTAAAGACGATCAATATTAGATATTAAAACTAATACCCTACAAGAGCAGGCAAGGAATGGGTCTTCTTCCAATTTGACATTTTGGAATCTGATATATGCAAAATGGTAAAATGTCACAAAAAATTCAAAGAAACAAGTATCATGTACCTAATATATCCTACTAACTCAGTGGGAAAAAGGAAGCAATGGAATCCAAATTTTCTTATAGTTAGGTAGGTATCAATATTTTATTCACAAGGCCACTGTTTTTAAAAGATAACTCAAGAATTCTAGATTGTGTCTTGAAACTTTTGTCTTTAAATCAAACTGTGTTATATAGTGGACATAGTCTACCAGCAAGCTAAAGGAATGGATTCTAGAATAGAGAAGAGTTGCAAAGCATGAAAATATTAAAAAAAAAAAAATTACCTAAAACCTAAGTAAGGTATTACCCAATTTTAGTAATTTTATTAATCTACAGTTTTAATTTTTTCCCTGAAACTAGGAGGAAAAATACTGAAATCTTTAAATATAGCCATGTATTTAAGAAATAAGTTCTATCTTTTAAAATGCTTTAAATATTAAAATATTTAGCCACAATATTTAATAAAATATTAAATAATACCCCTATTCTAAGATTCCATGAAACAGATACACAGATATTTTTCTTGCACTTTCAATAACAAATGGCCAAGAATCAAGATGGATTTAACTTTCAAAAATATCTAAAGTGAAAACTGTTCACAACATATTTTGGTAGAACAATGGATAACTGCCTTTAGATCTAGCACAGAACTGTTTTATGTCATTTCAAAGGTATAATTTCTAACTAGAATCGTGGCCTGGGGTATCTGTGAAAGAAAATAAATATATAAATATTTTTCATATTCTACTAGCTCAATTCACACAGAAAATTTGGAATCTCAAATCTTTTCATCAGTTTTTTTTTAGTGGCAACACAAAAATTGTGTATTCAAAGTACACATGAAACAACAGTAATACTTAAGAAAAGAACTATTACAGTAACTAAAAGATTACTACTTGTGTTTCCTTAGCATAGTCCTTTCATAGTTTTTTTTCTCATGTATCACTACTACTCTCTTCAGAAAGGATTAACCAATGAATATACTATTGGTGATCCCTAAATCTATCATGATACTTACTTAAAAAAAAAAAAGGCTCATATTTGGTTAGACACAAAGATGGTCAGCTTCCAATTAGCAGGACCATAGAATCCCCAGAGGTAGTTAAGCCTTGGCTACCAGATTCAAAGACTGATAAGGTCCCTGTGAGGACACCAGGGGCAAAAATAGAGGTTGCAACTCACAGGTTTGCCATCTGTTAGT